CAATGTTTCTTGGAACTTGCGAAACCCGTTACTAGGTTGACGCAGAAGCCACAATCAGACCACACGGACGAAAAGTAGTCATTGCGGAGCGTCGCTTCTCCTCAATCGATTCTTTTTATCCCAAAACGACAACCAATTGCACAGTTTGATCACAATGGTGCAAGTGTGGCTTCTACGCATCTAATAAACATGTCCATGTACGTCACACCGTCAATTTAATGGAGCATCATACCATCAAACTGTTAGAAATTGGTATAGAATCCGAGAAGGATCCCTAACTGGTGTGGAAGTTCTAATTGAAATAGGTATGGGAAACTTGGACGCAAGTTTTCAGATAGGTTTAGAATTCCAACTCAGTTTAGGATTAGGTTTTTGAGTTAGTATAAAAGGTTCCTTAACGTTAGGGTACAAAGAGTGGATATAGTGTGTGAGAGACTTATGAGACAAGAAACTATCTTGTGTGTGTTTTCTTGTATTTCTTTATATCAATAAGAAAGGTGTGCTTCCGTTGTTCAGTTTTAGCGTTGTTGATTTGGTTTGATCGAAGTACAAGTATAACAAGTGGTATCAAGAGCCATTAGGTTGCGTGGTCAAATCAAAACGATGACGAAAACTGAAAGTGGAGATGATAGGGGTACTGAGGTAACCAAGACTTCGGTACAAAGTGCTCGGTTTGAGATCGAGAAATTCATTGGGACAAATAACTTCGCTATGTGGCAGTGCGAAGTAAAGGATGTACTGATTCAACAAGGTTTACTGATGGTGCTTGAAGACATGCCTATAACAATGAAGAAGGAGGAATGGCAGCGGCTGAATGCACATGCATGTTCCACGATCAGACTATGTCTTGGAAAAGCACAAAAATATGGTGTAATGAATATCTCATCAGCTAGAGATCTATGGGATACGTTGGAATCAAAGTACCTGAAGAAGAGTGCAGAAAACAGGCTTTATCTTAAGAGTAAATTGTATCGGTTTCAATACAAGGAAGGAACTAAGATGATTGACCATCTTGAAGAATTTAACAAGATGATTGCTGAACTTCTGAACCTAGAAGAGACAATCAAAGATGAAGATAAAGCATTGATTCTGATGAATTCCCTACCTGAATCTTACGAGTCGTTTGTTACGACATGGATTTACGGTAGAGAAACTCTTAAGTTTGATGAAATCTCAAGTGCAGTGATGAATCATGAAGTCCGCAATTTAGACAGACAAGAGAGAAACAATTCCGAAGCACTAATGGTAAGGGGAAGATCAAAGGAAAGAAGACCAGCAACTAAGAAGAAAAGCAAGTCTCGTTCGAGAGGTACCTCAAGCAACAGAAAGTTTCTCGATAAAGATGAGTGCGCCTTCTGTCATGAGAAAGGGCACTGGAAAAAGGATTGTCCCAAAATCAAAGCCAAGAACAAAGATAAGAAATATGAAGACTCAGAGGCAAACATTGTCGAGGCTGACAATGAAGATTTCGTCTGTGCCCTAACTGCATCAGACGGAATAAATTATATGAATCACTGGGTGCTTGATACTGGATGCACGCATCATATGACCTCTCAACGTCATTGGTTTTCTTCGTTCAAGACTCTCACTGGAATGGTATATATGGGGGATGATAATCCATGTGCAACAAAAGGAATTGGTAGTGTGAAAATCAGACACCATGATGGTGTAGTCCGAGAGCTACAAGGGGTGAGATATGTCCCAAATCTTAAGAAGAATTTAATCTCGCTTGGAACTCTTGAAGATCAAGGTTGTAAATTCTACTCAGAAAAACAAACATTGAAGGTTGCAAGAGGAGCATTAGTGTTAATGAAAGCTCCAAGAAGAGGGTTGCTTTATTTGTTAGAAGGCACCACTATTGAATCTCCGATGGCTATGGCAGCAGCAAGTGATCAATCCGATGCATCCTGTCTATGGCATATGAGGCTAGGGCACGTGGGAAACAAGGCATTGCAAGGACTTATTAAACAAGGGGTCCTAGAGGGAGCCAAAAGTGGGAAGATCGACTTTTGCGAACATTGCATCCTTGGCAAACAAACCAAAGTAAGTTTTGGCACGGCAATACATCAAACGGAGGGAATCCTGGATTATGTACACTCAGATGTCTGGGGGCCAGCAAAGAATGAATCCCTAGGAGGAAAAAGATGGTTCGTATCCTTCATTGATGATTATTCACGAAGAGCATGGATTTATATGATGAAGCACAAACATGAGGTGCTGGATATTTTCTTAGAATGGAAAACCACAGTCGAAAGGAAGACCGAAAAAAAATTGAAAGTCTTAAGAAGTGATAATGGGGGAGAGTATACGTCTGATCCCTTCTTTGAAGCCTGCAAAAAGGAAGGTATAACACGACATTTCAGTGTTAGAGAAACTCCCCAGCAGAACGGAATTGCAGAACGGTTGAATCGAACACTGTTAGAAAAGGTCAGATGCATGCTGTCACAAGCAAAACTGCATAAACGTTTTTGGGCAGAAGCATTGAGCTATGCATGTCACATCCTAAACCGTCTTCCTTCTTCAGCTTTAAACGGAAAGACTCCAATGGAAGTATGGTCAGGACAAATTGCTCAAGATTATGACAGACTAAGGGTATTCGGGTGTGATGCTTATTACCATGTTAGAGAAAATAAATTAGATCCGAGAGCAAGGAAGGCTATCTTCCTAGGGTTTAACAGTGGCGTCAAGGGATTCAGATTATGGAGTACAGAACTCAAGAAGATTGTAATAAGCAGAAATGTGACGTTTAATGAAACCCATATGCAACTAAGAGAAGATCGAAAGATTGTGCAAGAGGTGGAGCTAGCAAAAGAACTAACTGAATATTCAAGAGATGAAGACAAACTCGACAATGAAAGTCATATCAGTGTCGATCAAGAAGAAGAACAAGAAGAGGATAGTATGAGTAATGATGTACCAGATCAAGATGATTGTATCGCCAAGAGAAAAGGAAAAAGAGAGGTTGGGCTTCCTGCTAAATACAAAGACTGCGTCTCCTGTATAGCCTATGCATTGCCTGTAATCGAGGTAGACATCCCTACAGATTTCACAGAAGCATCAAGGAGTAAAGAAGCTAAAAATTGGCATGAAGCTATGGATGATGAGATGTTGTCACTAAAGAAGAACAGAACTTGGGATCTGGTGGAGCTACCTAAGGGAAGAAAGGCCATTGGATGCAAATGGGTGTATGCAAAGAAAGATGGAATAAATAATGCAAGTTCATTAAGGTTTAAAGCCAGATTAGTAGCAAAAGGCTACGCTCAGAAAGAGGGAATAGATTACAATGAAATCTTCTCTCCCGTGGTGAAACATTCATCCATTCGAATCCTCCTAGCACTGGTGGCACAGTTTGATCTCGAATTAGTACAATTGGACGTAAAAACTGCGTTTCTGCATGGAAATTTGGCTGAAGAAATTTACATATGTCAACCAGAAGGATACGAAGAGAAAGGAAAGGAGAATCTAGTATGCAAGCTCAACAAATCTCTATATGGTTTGAAGCAATCTCCGAGGCAATGGTACTTAAGGTTCGACAAGTTTATGAAGGACTTTGGCTACACTAGGAGCCAATACGATCACTGTGTATATCACAAGAAAACGAGAAAAGGTATATATGTATATTTACTGATTTATGTAGATGATATGCTCATTGCCTCTAGTGATCAAACAGAAATCTCAGAACTCAAAACTCAGATGCAAAATGAGTTTGAGATGAAAGACCTTGGCGAAGCAAAGAAAATTTTGGGGATGGAAATCACACGGGATAGAAAGAAAGGGCTGGTGTGTTTATCACAGAAACAGTATGTGGAGAAATTGCTACACAAGTTTGGCATCCGTGATGAAACCAAACCCGTAAGTACACCTCTGGCATCTCACTTCAAGATGAGCACGCAGTTATGCCCTAAAACTGATGAAGAAAGGACTAAGATGAAGGACGTTCCTTATTCTAGTTTGGTTGGAGGGTTGATGTATGCCATGGTGTGTACTCGACCTGATATTGCTCATGCAGTTGGATTAGTAAGCAGATTTATGCATAACCCTGGAAAAATGCATTGGGAAGCTGCTCGATGGATACTGCGATACTTGCATGGAACAAGGAGCACGGGAATTTGCTTTGAGCGGAATGATAAAGGAATCGAGAAGTTTTCTATTGGATATGTAGATTCTGATTTTGCTAGTGACTTAGACAAACGAAGATCTACCACAGGATATGTGTTTACCATGGCAAATGGCCCTATATGTTGGAGATCAATTCTACAACCGACGGTTGCTTTATCAACTACAGAAGCAGAATATATGGCAATGGCAGAAGCAATTAAGGAAGCCATTTGGACACTGGGATTAATAGCAGATTTGGGAGTTAAGCAGCGCAAGATAGATGTGCATTGTGATAGTCAAAGTGCTATTTACTTGGCGAAGTATCAAGTGCATCATGCAAGAACCAAACATATAGATGTAAGATATCATTTTGTTCGAGAAATTATAGCTGAAGGCGAGATTCTCGTAACAAAAATCGCTTCAGCTGATAATCCTGCAGATATGTTAACAAAGGTGGTGGGTGCATCAAAATTCAGCCATTGTCTGGATTTGGTGCATGTAAGACAGGTTTGATACTTGAAAATGGTGGAGCGATGGAAGCATAAGAAGTCTCGAGGCGGAGTTCTTACCAAGGTGGAGTTTGTTAGAAATTGGTATAGAATCCGAGAAGGATCCCTAACTGGTGTGGAAGTTCTAATTGAAATAGGTATGGGAAACTTGGACGCAAGTTTTCAGATAGGTTTAGAATTCCAACTCAGTTTAGGATTAGGTTTTTGAGTTAGTATAAAAGGTTCCTTAACGTTAGGGTACAAAGAGTGGATATAGTGTGTGAGAGACTTATGAGACAAGAAACTATCTTGTGTGTGTTTTCTTGTATTTCTTTATATCAATAAGAAAGGTGTGCTTCCGTTGTTCAGTTTTAGCGTTGTTGATTTGGTTTGATCGAAGTACAAGTATAACACAAACAATATCCCCAATGATTTCTTTACAACACAAAGTCTGAATACTACAGTTGCAGACTCATTCCGGCAAAATAACCGAAATTTGCAGACCATTTTCGGAGATAGAAACTCAAAGACCTACACAAACTGTTTAATGTTTAGGTCAAATCCTCCAATCACCAAGAGGGAATTGATGGATATTTTTCTTCCTAATCTTAATGCTTTCAAGCATGATGTGGTCAAATGCAAATATATTTGCTAAAACTTTGAGCACCAACTAAAAGCCGACATTGTGAAAGAGTTCCCAAGTGCATTGTGACAATTAGAAGGATCTGTTTCAAAACTCCAATATCCAAATGATCTTTATCATTTTATTAAAGCCAACAAAGCAGGATCTACTTCATCCTTAGAGAGTAAATGAATTATCAATTCTGTAGTCGACGCATCTGCAGACCAGCCCCTCTCCACCATTTCATGGATAAGTCTCATTGCCCTTGACGTCTCATTCTTTTTGAAAAACCCCCGGATAATTGTGTTATAGGCGCAACCATCTGGAGAACAGCCCTTCTCTTCCATTTCTGTAAACAAATTTTCCGCTTCACTTATTAGGCCTGCATTACAAAGTCCAGTAATCATTATGGTAAATGTCCTGACATTAGGCTGAAGTCCTTTTGAAAAGAAACTGCTAAAGAGATCCTTTGCGCATTCAACTTTTCCACCTATGCACAAACCTTCAATAAGAATACTGTAGACCACAATATTTGGATCCAATCCCTTGCCTTTCATTTCTTCAAACAATTCAATTGCCTTAGAAAGTTGTTGGTCTTTACACAGACCATCAAGTAAAATAGCATAAGTTTGAACATCTGGAAGTTGACCACAAACTTGCATCGTGGCAAACAGCTTTTGTGCATCGTGTATTCTGCCCCGCTTGCAAAAACCATCTATTAGTGTGTTATAAGTAACAGTGTTTGGAACCAGACCTCCACCAGACATTTCCAGAAAAAGTATCCAAGCCTCGTCTATCCCTTTATGCTTACAATAGCCGTTTATCAGTATGTTGTAACTATGAGTATCAGCCACGAACCCCTTGCTAAGCATTATGTCAAAGACTTCTTTCGCCTCATCCATTTCTCCTCGCAAGCAATAACCATCCATAAGCGAATTATACGTAACCGTGTTAGGCTCAATATCTCTTTGAGTCATCATTTCAACCTTGCTTTTTGCTTCCCCAACCAACCCCTCCTTGCAAAGTGTATCTACTAAGACATTGAAGGTGAACACATCTGGAAAGATACCTTTGCTCACCATTTCATTAAACAACCTCACTGCTTCTTTCCACTCCCCTAATTTGCATACTCCATGAATCAAAGTGTTATAGGTGATGACATCAGGAGCAATACCTTTACTTGTCATTTCTGAGAAGAGTTTCAATGCATCCACAACCAGAGTATCTTTACAGAGGCTGTTGATAATCGTGTTATACAAAACAACGTCAGGGTTGCAAGCTCCTTGTTCCATCCTCTTAAGCAATTGCATAGCTCCAACGTTGTTACCCTTCATGCAAAAACCCTTAACTAGTATGTTGAATGTAAACACATCGGGCTTACAATTACCACTCTCCATCATTTTATTCAGAATCCCGACAGCATCAGCCTCTCTATCCTCGAGAAGGAAGCCGTTGATTAATGTGTTGTAGGTCACCACATTCGGTTCAAAACCCAGTTTGAAGAATTTTCCCAAGACAGACAAACAAAACCCCATTTGGCTCAGATGACAAAAGCAATTAATGATAATGTTTAGAGTGTAAGCATTAGGAACAATTCCCAACAGACCCATTTGATCATTCAACGAGATGACAGCCGAGTAATGCTTCAACTTGGCGACTTGAGTCAATACTTGATTGAAACGGACAACAGAAGGCAGAGGACGCATTTGAAGCATTTCGTCGAACAGACGGAGTGCATCGTCAAGGTTAGCTACTTTGACAAGCTGATGCAATTGGGTCTTTGTAGATTTGGTAGGATAGGAAGGTCGAGAGTGAAACGGAGCAAAGTAATTGTTGAAGAGAGTAAAGTTACGAAGAGGACAAGGCAGAGGCGGCATACCTCTCACTTTCACTCTCAGTCTGCTGCCGATGCCATAACCAACCTTCAAGGAAGAAGAAGCGGCAATTGGCGCCGCGCGCATCATCCTCAGCATGCCTGTTGTGGCAGAATGAGAGAATCGGTGACGCCAGGGAGAGGAGAAAAATTGCGAGTAGGGTTCTACCGCGTTGTACCATATGATAAAGTTTCAATGGTAACGGGATCTTGTAATCTGTCTGTTCGTCGTATATTATGCGGTTTTTGTTACGTATTATTTATATTTAATTTTAAAATTTAAATGATTTCTGATCACATGATATACGATGAACGAACATAATTATAAGATCTCCGAATTCCCATGAAAAGGATCGGGCGAGGATCTTTTTCCGTTTTCGCCTTCCATTTCTTCTTGCAAAAGATAAACCATCCATGAAGGGAGTCTGAAATGTTTATGTGAGTTTTACTGGCCTCCAAAATGGATAAATAACCATGACTTACCACCAGTTATCCTCTTGAATATCTCTTTCAACCATCATTTAAGCCTCGCTTTTTGCTTTCCGGACCATCCCCTCCTTACAAAGTGTGTCTACCAAGATATTAAACATGCGGAGATGAGGAAAAATATTTTTACTCACCATTTCATTAAAAAACCTCGTAGCCTCTTCCCACTCCCCTAATTTACAAACTCCATGAATCAAACAGTTATAGGTAATGTCGTTAATTTGGAGCAATATCCTTACTCATCATCTCAGACAAGAGGTTCAATGCATCAACGACTAATTTATCCTTACAAAGACTGTAAATGATGGTGGTATAGGCAACTACGCTAGGCTTGCAATCTCCTTCCTCCATCTTCCTAAGAAATTTAAGAGCTGCATTGTTGTTGCCCCTATTACAAAAACCCTTTATCGGTGCTGACTGAAAGTAACGACATTGGGCTTACAATTAGCACTACCCATTGTTTCATTCAGAAATTTGTGTAAGAGCGACGGTCATTTGATTGACTACATCAACTTCCAATTTTGTGCGTATGATCAAGGCACCGCAATGTCTCAGTTCATCAATTATCTCAACACTCACAACTTCAATTACAACGGCGGAAAGTTCTTGGCAAGCTTTATCAATGACGGGAGCGGCGGATTGTCCCCGGAGATGTATATGTTTGGAATAAATTATAGGGTAATGTTAGGGAGACCAAAATTTTAAATCAAATGATGTTGTAGTAGATGATTGGGTTATTAACTAAGTATCGTTTAACGTGCTTGTTTCTTATTGGTGACAAATCAATTGGTTTAAAATTTTGGTTTCCCGAGTATTATCCTAAATTATATGTATGTGCGATACTTGTGCCACAAGTAAACAAAACTTCTTTATTTAATGTCTTGTCTGTTACGGATTTTGATTTTTACTTGATGTTATACCAGATACTATTAAGATGAGGCTAAATATAAACTAGTTATACTCAAGCACACAACATTAGTCATTCACAACAGAATAATAAAGACAGTAAGTAACAAAGAGCAGTAACTACAGGACTGAAAGTGATATTCATAATATTGAATACCACAAATAAGTAAAGTACATAAACAAATGAACTTAAAGCAACCAATGAAACTCTTATCAGATTGGTTTTAAGGCCGTTCGATCAGGTTAAGGATGCTTCTTGTAAAGTGTTTCAACTAAAGTGACAAACTTTATCTACTGGCTGGTATATCGATACTACGCAAAAAGATGGTAGTAGAGCAAATTTTAATTGGTCTTAGAGTGTAAAGGAAGGATTCCTAAAGTTCTAAGGTTTTGGTTTCAAGTGATCTTTTGGTAAGGCAAAAGGGATGAAACAAGTAAAGGCAGAGAGCTTTCGTTTGAAAGCCCATGGTTTGTTTTGTTGAATGATATGAGTGTTCTTTGCTTTGACTTTCACTTGTATTTATAAACCTTTCACTTCCTTCTTGAATACTTCCTATGTATTCATTTGAAGCCAACCTAGGAATACTTTTCAGAAAGTAATGCACTAATAAGAAAGTCATCCAAAATATCTGAATGGTGAACCTAGTTTAGCATAACCAAGACAGTGTTTTTTGCTGAGTCTATGACCACCTTCCCTCCAAAATGTAAAAGTACTTTGCATTCAAAGCTTTTAGCAGTCAAGAAGGAAAACTGAGACTTGGTATCTTTGACAAGTCAAAAAGTGGTTTGGGCTACGCATCGTTCCTTTAGAGTAAATTAAACTGAAACTCTATTTTCCTTTGTGTCATCTTACTACACCAATCCAAAACTAAGGCCCAATAATATTTTTGGTGTAAACATCATCAACATAAAACTGCCTCTATTAAAGATGCTTTCCTTAAATTTGTGTTTTGCAACTTTGTTATGCCGCCGGGACAAAACTTTGCACGAAACACTACTGCAACAGCACTGCAGACGCAAGGAGATCAACTATAGCTTTGCTTGTTTCCACATTGGGTAATTGTTGAGTGTGAATTCAACACCGGGAATAAGGGAATTTCATGTCTTTATAAGAAGTTAGTCTATTAATGCATAGTGCTAATTGGTTTTATAGTAGAATTTCAATATATTTTAGGATATCATAGCAGTTTAATCCACGCTTTAAGCTTAATGTGCCATGTGCTCTCATGTTACTCATCAAAAGCCACAAGATTTTACATTTTAACAAAACTATTAAATCTCATGTTACATGCGATCATATGAGAACAAAAATTCTCAAAACATATTCGAAGATGAAATAGGATGTCCTTGAGTCTAATTGCATAATCACACTATCTCGCATATCAAAAGAAAGGGTTGATAATAACTTCAGACAACAACAACACTAGCCAGCTACATGCATGGCTCTCGAAACACCAAACCAAACATTAGGAATAACAAAACCATATTGAAATATTACAATATTCAGAAAAATCACTGCAGGTAAACAGAGGGTAACAATCTAGGTTTAGGAATGCCAACAAGGCGCTTTCCTTTCTGAATCGTAAGCCCCACTTGCTGGAACCCTATTGGACTCTAAACTTATCTCATTAGGGTTTTGAGTTTGAAACTGGAATCAGTTGGAGTTAATATTTGAATAAGTTTTCTTTCCCTTAAAGTAGGACAATAAGGTTAAACATGTTGGTGAGTGGATATCCCACATTGGAATGTAAATGGACGTGCAGTTTTGCCAAGCAGTTTCTGTGATAGGTGGAAACGATTGTTGTTACACGTCTATAAAATGGTTTAGTTCCTGCTCAAGAGCAACACGTTCTTTTAGTAACTAACCCCATTGAGTAGAAGACTCTTCCTCGATCATTCAGTAATGGCTTCATCAGATTTGCGTGCTCTTTCGTCCCCTGTATTAGGTTGTAATCTATGCGTGTGGCTAACCATAAATTCCAACCTTTGGTATCAGAGCATCGGCTAGCTCTTCATAGATTCTTTTGATGATTACTGGCAACGTATAAATTAGATTATTGCTTTTGCTTGCTTCTTGAAGTTTTTATCAGGTACAGGATTAAAGCTAATGTGAAAAGGCAAAGAAGAATGAAAGGCATAGGCTGCCTTTCCGTGCCTTAATTTAAGGGAAAAGAAATAAAGGTTGTTGCTTTTGGTTGAATAAGAATAGAGCGAAGCAGAGTGAGAGAGGTGAGAGCATCCGGCTCTCCCAAGAAACGAAAGGGGGCAAGCGTCCACAAGAGAGGAGAGTTGATGCACGGCAAGGGAGAGAGAGCTCCCGGAAAAATTGAGGGATTTTGTCGAACCTCAGCCATGGCACAACTTGAAGATCTTAATGGCGTCGTTCTCGGCCATGGTGGCGGAGATGATGATGTTTCCGGTAGACGTAACAAAGACGTGGTTTCCGCTGCACGGCAGTTGGCGTGCCAACGCGCGTTTTGGGTCGCCTTGGAGATCATGCGAGAGCAAGGTCCGCTGGGATTGTATCGGGGCTTGTTGTTGGTGATTCTAAAACACGTCTGAAGAGCGACGGTAGGTCCCTCTCTCTCTCCCCGTCAAAGCTATCTCTGGCGTTGTTGCTCAAAATGGGGAGGGATGCTCTATGAAGGTTGATGCTTATCTAATTATTTATCATTATATTATTCAACTAATGGATCCTGGCATTCCATTGCTATGGCTATTATCATTTTGCTTCCTCTGTATTTGCAGATAAAGGGATGTTGGTGATAAACGTAAAGGTTAAATATATACGTTTTGTTATATTGCTAACATCTTGTAGCTTCTTAAGATTAATATTATCGAAGACACCTAATAAAATAGGGTAAAGTATAAAAAACGACCTCAACTATTGATGTCACGACACTTTCATACTTTATCTTTTAAAATTGACAATATCATACCTCATCTTGAGAATTTGGTCCAATGTTATACCTTCCTTTACTTGGCCGTTTACTTTTAAGTTAAATACGAACTTGACTTGATTTAGAGTCCACTTCTATTAAAAAATCATTAAAATATTATTAAAAACTTGAAAAAAAAATTATTTAATATTATTTAAATATTAAAATAATAATTAAAAGTAAAAAAAAAAAAACCCTCATCCCGTCCCTCCCCTCACCCACCTCCCCCCCCTCCCTCTCCTCTCTCTTCTCCCCATCTTCATCTTCTTCCCCCACCTCCAAACCCCCCCAAAAAAAAAGCCCTAGATCCCATCGGTGGGAAGATAGGTGCACAGAGAAAGTGGAGGATGTGGAGAATGGATGAGAGTGGTGGATTTGGGGTTTGATGGGTTTTCAAAAAAATTTTTTTTTTTTTTCTTCCTCTGCCTTTTTTCCCTCTTCTTCTTCTTCCTCCTTCTCCTTCTTCTTCTTCTGGAGGGGGGGTTGATGGGTTTTCAAAATTTTTTTTTTCTTTTCTTCTTCATCTTCTTCCTCCTTCTCCTTTTCTTCCTCTTCTTATTCTTCCTCCTTCTCCTTCTCCTTTTCCTTCTTCTTCATCCCCCGCCAGGGGGGGGGAGGAAGAAGATGAAGATGGGGAGAAGAGAGAGGAGGGGGGAAGGGGGAGGGGAGGGACGAACTGATGGTTTTTTTTTTTTTTTTTTTTACTTTTTATTATTATTTTAATATTTAAAAAAGTATTAAATATTCTTTTTTTAGTTTTTAATAATATTTTAATGATTTTTTAATAGAAAGTGGGCCTCGAATCAAGCTACATCAGCATTTAACTGAAAAGTAAACGGCCAAGTAACGGAAGGTATAACATTGGACCAAATTCTAAAGATGAGA